CTCTCTGAAAAAAAAAAAAAAAAATCAATAAAAAAAGACTTCTCTCATTCACTGCATTGATAAGGCTTTTCTCCTGTGTGAATGCTCTGATGATGATATTGGAGACCACTGCGACTTTTAAAATACTTTCCACATTCACTGCATTTATAAAGATTTTCCCCAGTATGAAATGTCTGATGACAATGAAGTTCAGAGCTAGTAATAAAAGATTTCCCACATTCACTGCTGAGGTCTTTCTGCAGTGTGCACTCTGCGATGATAATGGAGACCACTCCTACGTTTAAAAGATTTTCCACATTTAGTGCATTTATAAGGCTTTTCTTCTGTATGAACTCGTTGATGACTACGAAGGCAGGTTTTAGTGATAAAAGATTTCCCACATTCACTGCATTTATAAGGCTTTTCTCCTGTATGAATTCGCTGATGACTCTGAAGGTCGGTTTTAGTGATAAAAGATTTCCCACATTCACTGCATTTGTAAGGCTTTTCTCCAGTATGAACTCTCTGATGAATACAAAGTTGGGTCTTAGTAATAAAACATTTCCCACATGCACTGCATTTATAAGGCTTTTCTCCAGTATGAACTCTCTGATGAATACGAAGGTGGGTCTTAGTAATAAAACATTTCCCACAATCACTGCATTGATAAGGCTTTTCTCCTGTGTGAACACTCTGATGATGATATTGGAAACCACTGCGACTTTTAAAATACTTTCCACATTCACTGCATTTATAAAGATTTTCCCCAGTATGATATTTCTGATGACAATGAAGTTCAGAGCTAGTGATAAAAGACTTCCCACATTCACTGCTGAGATAAGGTCTTTCTTCAGTGTGCACTCTGAGATGCAATTGGAGACCACTGCTACGTTTAAAAGATTTTCCACATTTACTGCATTTATAAGGCTTTTCTCCAGAGTGAACTCTCTGATGAGGACAAAGATCAGTGCATGTGTTAAAAGATTTCCCACATTTACGGCATTTATAGGGCTTTTCTCCAGTATGAACTTTCTGATGACTACGAAGGTGGGTCTTAGTAATAAAACATTTGCCACATGCACTGCATTTATAAGGTTTTTCTCCAGTGTGAACTTTCTGATGATACTGGAGACCCTTGATACTTGTAAAACTTTTCCCACATTCCCTGCATTTATAGGGCTCTTCTCCAGTGTGAATTCTCTGGTGATATTGTACTGTAGCCCTAGCAGTAAAAGATTTTCCACAGTCACTGCATTTATAGGGCTTTTCTCCAGTATGAACTCTCTGATGACTATGAAGGTGGGTCTTAGCAATAAAACATTTCCCACATGCACTGCATTTATAAGGTTTTTCTCCAGTGTGAACTCTCTGGTGATATTGGAGACCTCTGGTACCTGTAAAAGTTTTTCCACATTCACTGCATTGATAAGGCTTTTCTCCTGTGTGAACTCTCTGATGACTTTCCACATTCACAGCATTTATAAGGCTTTTCTCCAGTGTGAACTCTCTGATGAGGACAAAGATCAGTGCATGTGTTAAAAGATTTCCCACATTTACGGCATTTATAGGGCTTTTCTCCAGTATGAACTTTCTGATGACTACGAAGGTGGGTCTTAGTAATAAAACATTTGCCACATGCACTGCATTTATAAGGTTTTTCTCCAGTGTGAACTTTCTGATGATACTGGAGACCCTTGATACTTGTAAAACTTTTCCCACATTCCCTGCATTTATAGGGCTCTTCTCCAGTGTGAATTCTCTGGTGATATTGTACTGTAGCCCTAGCAGTAAAAGATTTTCCACAGTCACTGCATTTATAGGGCTTTTCTCCAGTATGAACTCTCTCATGAGTACGAAGGTGGGTCTTAGTAATAAAACATTTCCCACATGCACTGCATTGATAAGGTTTTTCTCCAGTGTGAACCCTCTGATGATATTGGAGACCTCTGGTATTTGTAAAAGTTTTTCCACACTCACTGCATTGATAAGGCTTTTCTCCTGTGTGAACTCTCTGATGACTACGAAGTTGGGTCTTAGTAATAAAACATTTCCCACATGCACTGCATTGATAAGGTTTTTCTCCAGTGTGAACCCTCTGATGATATTGGAGACCTCTGGTATTTGTAAAAGTTTTTCCACACTCACTGCATTGACACTGCATTGATAAGGCTTTTCACCAGTGTGAACTCTCTGATGATACTGGAGACCAATGCTATGTGTAAAAGACTTTCCACATTCACAGCATTTATAAGGATTTTCTCCCGTATGAACTCTCTGATGATTATGAAGGTGAGAGTTAGTTGTAAAAGATTTTCCACATTCAGAGCACACAAAACATCGACTTCCAACATGGACACTCTTCTCCTGAATAAAAATGTGGGTGCGATTAATGTCATCCTTACATTCTTTCCTGGTGTAACAATTTTCTCTCCTTTGAAACATCATCCCACGTGTTGAAATAGCATTGGGACTGTCCATGGACTGAGGAGCCGTTAGGTGGAGAGTTCCTGATTTGGTAAGGACACCCTGCCCAACTTTTCTGCAGGTGAAACGCTTCTGGGTCACATTGAAATTGCAGCTGTTTGCAAGTGAGATCCTGTCCACACCTCTAATGAAAGACATGTCTCTCACATGCTGCTGATGAAATTTTACACTGAAGTAAAACCGTTTTGCACATGAACCACACCTCAACAGTATCTGTCCGTGTTGCGTTCCCTGCACATCCATCACGTGGAAAATGTTTCCCAAGACAGGCCCACAACTCTCACAGGGGTGGCTCTTCTGGGAAGACAAGGCTACCTTGATATTTCTTGCCTGTGACACTTTAACAGAAACGCTCTGCTCAGTCAGTGCCTCCACATTCTCGGCTCCACAGCAGCAACCTGTATAAAAGGAAATGCTGGTGAGGTACATGTAGACCTTATGAAAACAGAATATCTTCACCATGAATGATTAACAGTCATGACTAGGCATGATTGCATAGAAAGATTTTCAAGATGAGTGAGTTAGACAGTGAGGAAATTGCTTTTATAAATAACATGGCCCCAAAAGTCAGTCGATAATGGAAATCTCACCAAGAGAGGGACTGAAGCATATGAGTCGATACAAAGAAGAGAGGAAGGCTCTACTCATTGTTCTTGCACAAATGGCTTCCATTAGAACTTTACATTCTGACCATGTGAGTCTCTGTGGAATAATTTCAAGCTACTCAAAGCCATAAAAATTATTTGTAGTAGATCACAGGATATACAACTTCAATATAATAACACGTGTGCTCTCCAAAGTGCTGCATGCATGGACCAATGTTGGCTTGCAGTACAGAGAGACCTGTGAAAGAGGCAGAGGTACAAAGTCCAGGGAGGTTAAGGTTATCCGTGAGCTGGGAATCTAAGTAGAAATGATCATAATTAGAACTAAATAGTTGGCAAAGTATCAACAATAAGCACAAACAACCATAATTGTGTGAGGAATGGGCAACTGTAACAAAACACTGGGTTTCTCGCTATGAACGTAACAAACGCCTGTCATGAATTCCTCCCCAATGACCCTTCCCCAAAGAAAGATCGCCTGGGGTCCACTGTGTCATTCATAAAGTCGTGTTTCTTCTGTGATGCACAAATGATTCTTCCCCTTCAATCCCATTTGAGGCATTGCTTGGGATAAATGATGCAAAGAACATGGAGGGTCAATACCGTGGTAGAACAACAAAGGACAAATGAGATCACAGTCAAAAGACCAAGGTGAGTGACATCAGCAAGATGGCAGGATCAGAGAGATGAGCTTCTTCCCCCTTCCCAGTGTAAGTAGACAGCTTTCCATGAACAAAAACCCCATAGGAAATGGGAATAAGAGTACCATGAAGACAAAAAGTATTACCGACACAAATAAAGGATAACTGTACAGAAAGGATGATTGGAAAGACTGAGTGAACAAATATAGTTGAAGATACCTACAGTCAAAAACAAGGGTCAGAGTTATGCTTCTGCTATCATTGACCCTAGTGGCCTGTTCTACAACAAAACCTGGAAATTTGTGTGTTTAAAAACCTCAGAATGCCTTGACCAGTATGGCTCAATTGGTTGGAGCATCGTCCTGAGTACCAAAGGGTCGAGGATTCAATTCACAGTGAAGGCACATATCAGTATGTGGATTTCATTTCCAGTTAGCTAGTGTACAGAAGGCAGCTGATTGATGTTTCTCCCTCACTCTGATGTTTCTCTCTCTCTTTCTCTCTATCTCTCTTCCTCTCTATCTGAAAGCAATAATAAATATACAGATAACAATTTCAAGGTAGCCAAACCCAAAACTGAAATCAAAACAATCTATTGACATAGTCAATAAAAAGACAACCTATCAAAATCATGTATAAAATCCAGAAAATACAATTCTAAGAGGAAATTTCATAGGGAAAAATGCCTGCATTATGAAATAAGATCTCAAAAACCTATCCTTCCATCTCAGGAATCTATAAACAAAACAAGAACGTAAACTGAAAGACTGCAAAGAAATGACACAAGAAATATTTGAACAAGCATCAATTAAAGGGAGATAAGACAAAATTTAAAAAATACCTAACAGGTACTTTTCTCAAATACAAAAATTGGTAAACCGTGATCTAGACCAGGGGTGGGCAATCTCTGTTACATGCTGGCATGCGAAACTCTCTCTTATAATCTTTCATTTACAATTTTTTTCTCAATATCTATTTTTTTATTTCTGAGATAAATTCAGTATAGGTACATCTTAGATAAATAAATAATTTTACATAACATGTATACATTAAACACTAAATGTATTTTTCATCATCATATACTGTGTTTTTGTCGCTGGAATGAATTTTATTATTTCTTCAAGATTCTTCATATGCGTACACCAGAGATATCAAGTAGGCATAACATGTTCTCAAAAAATCACGGTTGGCACGTAGAATTTTGAGTCAGAGATTTTGCTGGTTTTGGCACGCACTCACAAAAACGTTGCCCACCCCTGAGCTAGACTAAAGCAAAAAACAAAAACAAATAAAGAAAAAAGAAAAAAACCTCAACGGAATGAAAAAAGAAATGAAACGTAAGATGTTACACCTGACACTATGAACCCCAAAACATCATAAGAGAGGTTGATGTTAGGAAACGAGAATACTGAACTTACAAGCAACCTATTCCCCTGACCTCCTGGACCAGGAGGTCCTGGGGGGATGGGGCGGATGAAGATATATAAGAGGAGAAACTGCACTGACTGGCATCGGGGCAGGAACTAAGGGGCGGCTTTCTCCCAGACAGAGGTGCTGGCAGAGGTCATTATACCTATGTTGGGACATCCCAGGTTGCAGGTCTGATTGACAATCATTTCAGTTGGCTTCACCCTGGGGATTCCTTGAGACCTCACTTTATCCCATTTAAAACCCCACCCAAGCTATGTGCAGCACCTTTTCTATATGAATGGCTTCTCTTGTTGGGCTAAATCCTGTCAAAAAAGTTGCAGTTGGGTCTGGGAGGCCCAAACCTATCAATAAAAGGCCCAAGATGCAGCAGCAGCACTAGCCTCCCATAATTCAAGGCTGGGCCTCATGAGGGCATTTCCAAACCCGATACAAAGAGGAGAATCTACAAATCTCTCTGTAGATCAAGCTGGGTGTCTCCAGGCAGTGGCTGACTTTACACCTCCTGGGAGACCCAAGAGCCAGTGTACCCAGTGGTCAGTGTCATACCATAGCAGCTTACAACTCTTCACATCCATAAGCCACACACTCAAGGGCAGATTCACTGAGCACCAAAGCCCCACTGAAGCAAATCCTGTACCATAGGGGTGTCTTCTTCACAGCACTTCACCCGCTGTAGTCGAAGTGACCCCTACCGACGCTAAAATCCTCAACATTATTCTGGCAAATCAGATCCAGCATTTCATTAGAAAGATCATACACCATGACCAAGTGGGATTTAATTTATGGGATGAAAGGATGGTCCTATATCTGCAAACCAATAAATATGATACATCATAAAAACAAAATGAGAGACAGAAATCACAATCATATCAATTGATGCAGAAAAGGCATTTGACAAAATCCAACACCCTTTCTTGAGAAAAACTCTCAGCAAATTGAGATTATAAGGATCATACCTCAACAAAATAAAAGCCTTACGTGACAAACCTACAGCCAGTATCACACTCAATGGGCAAAAACTAAAACCATTTTCCCTAAGAACAGGAACAAGAGAGGGATGCCCACTTGCACCACTCCTGTTCGATCTAAGACTGGAAGTGCTAGCCATAGAAATCAGACAAGAAGAAGAAATGAAAGGCATCCAAATAGAAAAAGAAGTAAAACTGTCATTATTAGCAGATGATACAATACTGCACATGGAAAACACTAAAGTCTTCATGAAAAACTACTAAATACAATAAATGCATTCAGCAATATAGCAGGATACAAAATTAACACCCGGAAATCTATGGTTTTTTTATACACCAATAATCAACTCACAGAAAGAGAAACAAACAAACAATCCTATCTACCACTGCAATAAAAATATTAGGATACCTAGGAATAGACTTAGGTAAGGAGGTCAAAGACCTGTACTCAGAAAATTACAAGAAGTTGAAAAAAAGAGATAGAAGACGATACAAACAAATGAAAGAATATACCGTGTTCGTGGATTGGTAGAATCAACATCAATAAAATGTCCATACTACCCAAACAAATCTACAGACTCAACGCAATACTCATTAAACGATACCAAGGGCATATTTCACAGACCTATAATAAACTCTTCAAAAATTCATATGGAATAAAAAAAAAAAGAACAACCGAATAGGCACAGCAATCTTGAGAAAGAAGAACAAAGTTGGAGGAATCACAAGATCAGATACCAAGCAATAGCACAAAAATGCCTGGTTCTGGCACAACAACAGACACATAGAAGAATGCAACAGAACTGAGAACACAGAAATCGACCCAAGCCCTTATGCTCAATATTTGACAAAGGAGGAGGAAATAGCCCATGGAGTCAAGACACTCCCTTCAATAAATGGTGTTGGGAAAATTGGACAGATACATGCATAAAAAGGAACTAGACCACCAACTTATACGACACACAAAAATAGACTAAAAATGGGAAAAGGACTTAAACATGAGAGGAGAAACCAGAACATTTTAGAAGGATCCACAGGCAGCAAAATATCACACATATGTCCCAGCAATATCTTCACAAATACAGCTCTGAGGGCAATGGAAAGTAAGAAAATATAAACAAATGGCACTACATCAAAATAAAAAGCTCCTGCAAAGCAAATGAAACCATCAACAAAAACAAGAAAGCCCAGGAGCACATATTTTCCAATGTTATCTCTGGTAAGGAATTAATCTCCAAAATTTACAAGGAACTCATACATCTTCACAAAAAGAAGATAAACGATCCAATCAAAAAATAAGCAAAAGACTTAAATAGACACTTTTCGAAAGTGGACATATAGTGGGCAGAGAGACAGATGAAAACTTGCCTAAAGTCACTAATTATCTGAGAGACGCAAAACAAAACGACAATGAGATATCATCTCACACATGTCAGGATGCCTATCATCAACTAATGGACAAACGACAAGTCCTGGT